CTCCATCATTATCCGGCTGTACGATGTGTATGAAATTCCATATTGTGATCATATTGCTGCATATTGTGATTAGGCTTGATAATTTGTGTAATAACTGACATAGTGTGTAATTACATAACGTGTTTCATGGCTATGCAATCTCTTTTGCTTCTGCATTTCTTTTTCCTGTTTGTTACAATATTAAGAAGTAGCAAACAAGATGTGCTATTTTTCTACAAACTGAGACCAGAGAGAAAACAATAACTTATCATCAAACTCATATTAATAATTAGAGCCATCCTACCCACCCAGTGAGAGCGATCTCCCAACAATAGGGCCAACACTTAGATGGTTGTGCCTCTTAATTGCCCCAATAACTGTTATTCTGCTTATACCTGGTCTTTTAATCTGCGTTGTAACCGTGAAGAATGTAACTTCGTGCATTCACACTTAGTGACCCAATGCGCCTCCAGATTAAAAACTGTTAGCTGTGTGGTGTTTGGTATGCAAATTAGCTTATATACAGCAACCAATTGCTGGTGGTGTTCCTTGATTTTCCCTTTATATGCATTTACCCTTGTGCAAAATGAAAATAGTATATATCTGGACAGAGATTATCCACATAAAAATGCAGGCGTTCTGTGCATTTACCCTTGTGTGTCTCCGACCTCCCAAAGTGGTTTGAGCAGTCAGATCTAAATCTGTTTCAAACGAGTCTTGGGTGCGTTTATACCTGCATTTGTCTGTGGATGATCTCTACCTAAATATAATCCTGATTAGGGCTACAACTAACAACTATTTTCAGAATCAATTAGTTGGTCTATTTTAACTTTGATTAATCAATGATTTGGGATCCAAATGATGTTTTATAAAATGGGCTTTTTTATCAATTTCACAGCAACATGTTTGTTGCTCCTGAAAACTGTTTCTGAAAGGTGCAGAAACAGTAAAGGAACAGCACAAACAAACCTTACATGACGGTCCGAGATGGTTGGGTGGTTGGTTCTCTGTATTAAAGGTGCCGTAAGCGATTCTGGAGAACGATTGTTAATGTTTGACTCAACAGCAAAACAAATACACTCCTCCCTTCAGTGCTCCTTCAGAAGCTCCGCTCCCCAAAGCTCATGGACGCGCAATGCCAAGGTTAACGACACTAGGCTAGCTTGTTTTTTTATGGTCTTTGTTACCCTTCATAAAAATTGTATGGACAAATACAATGATACCATGAACAGCCACACAGCAAGCAATGTAACCAACTAGCTTGGTTGTGGGTTAGCAAACTGAGAAGCTAACTAGCTGGGATTAGCTGTCACAGACGTTAGCAAATGGAACAAAACAATTCCAACCTATTTGTTCTGTGAAACAGCAAAAATGAGTTAATGTTACCCACACACAGCAACCTCCTCATCCCTTTTCATACCTTTGAAGTCTCGAGAAAGCTAAAGACAGCTTCTTATTTGTCAGCTCTTCTAGTTTGATTTTTCTGTTCCATCTTAAATGGTGCAGCAGGTACAGTCTGAATGCATCTGCTGCACCATTTACGGTTGAACAGGGAAAATTCAAACAAGAAGCTGACAAACAACAAGAAGCCCCAATCAGCTCTCAGAGGTCTCTACACCGATGTTAACACGGCTCTTCGCCCTCGCCTGATCTGAAAAATTCTTTGTCAATCTTTGTTCTTCAGATGTTCTCCTCTTTGTCTGTTTATCGCCCATCTCTTACTCTTGACAGTGAGTTCAACACGTAGCACGTGACAGATATACAGTCTCCCCTGCCTATCCCCTTCCACCGTCCCCCTGGCGTGGCCACGACTTGGTAAGGCATGATCTCATTTCCCACGCCTTACTAAGTTGTGGCCACAACTTGATTATCCCATCCCCATGCCTTACTAAGGCCACACATTATCTTTATTTATACAGGATGTCACCAGCAGGGTTCTGTAGAAATCTGATTACTGCCTGTTTCATGTAGACCTGGAGTTTTACCGTTACTTGATTACTCAAGTGCATGTAAATGCGCTACACGAATTACTGACAAAATCTGATTTTCTGCAGTTATCAGATTATAAAGTGCATGTTAGTACAGCATCTCACCATTATCTTAGTATCTCCCTGCGCTGAGTTTCTGTTGTGAATGCACTGTATATTCTTTCTCATACTCACACCTGACCGTCATGCTGTCCGCTGAGCTTGGTTGTACATATCGTACAGTAAACCATATTTTAGACGATGTTAGAGTGAAATGTTTTCCTTGTTTTTGATTTTTTAGGATGTGTTTGGTGCTACACACTTAAAAATAATGGTTCTTCAAATGTTCATTAGTAAAGAAAATGATTTTATAAGGAACCATAAACACTCAAAAAATCCTTTGCATGATTAAAGGGCTCTTTGCATTATAACAGCGTTCTTCAGATTAATGGAGAATGTGCTGCTGATGGTTCTGTATAGAACATTGTTGAAAAGGGTTCTACATAGCACCAAAAAGGGTTCTTTTATTATTACAAGCTTGACAAAGTAACAATAGCAGAACAACATAGAACTCTTTTTAAAAAGGGTGTATATATAACCATATACAATGCATTCTCCATCAATATGATCATTCATGATTCCTTATAGAACCATTTTCTTTACTAAAGAACCCTTGAAGAACCATCGTATTTAAATGTGTATACTGCAGTCTGCACTATCTGTATTTCCCTCCTTAAAAAATGTGATGTCAATGAGATGCGCCATCAAGCCAACTAATCGATAATGTGATTCATCGCCATCATTTTTTTATTATTGACATTATCGATAATGTCGATTTGTTGTTGCAGCCCTAATCCTGATACTAAAAAAGGGTCTGTGACTTTTGTCATGACCAAACTGTTTTGACCAAATCTAGAGTGTGTGAAGTTGGTTAGTGGTTGTTTAGAGTTGAGGGTTCCGCATCTCAGTCCCACACTATGCACATTTCTGTGCTTCTTCTCATTCAAGCACACCTGATTCATCTTATTAAGCTCCTCATGTGCTGGGTCAGTGTCCAAACTGGGGGAAAACATGAGTAGGGTGCAGACCTTGGGAACCCCTGGGTTAGAAGATTATTGCTGTATTACAGCCTTCTGTGATATCAGATATAAGACTTAACAAACAATATACTGCACAGCCACAGAGCACTGAGCTCTGAAATTTTCTGAGGTTCTCAGTGTGAGTAGGAGAAATGTTGAGGCCTTTTGGGGTCGATTGTTCTACAAACATGAATGTATTCCAGCGCTGTGACACCCTTTGATGAATGAATGGGCTTGACAAATTGTGAATAGCCACAGCTGGTTTGCCATAAATATATTATTCATTATACATACAGTGGCCACAAAAAATATTTGGACCCTTTAACCATTCAAGCATTGGAAATCTTTAACTTCTTAAGCTCTACAAGCTGGTTTCTCCAACCCAGATTAAGCCTAATCCTAGACTACTCACTAATGATGTTACAGTTTAACCCTTATAAATGGCCAGGGCCCACAGGCAGGCTCAAAGTTTTATTACACACTTCTATAAACTAAGAATAGCTCAACTAGTTTGCATTGAAGTCCATGTAGTTACTGAACAATAAGCCTTAGCATGTAATAAGCCTGGGATTTTAAGGGGTTAAACCAAGACTAATCACCACTGATGTTACAATTTTATTCCAGGTTAGGCTAATCTTTGGCTAGGAAACTGACTCTAATGTTAAGTTTCCCAGACAAGGACTAAACCTAGACTACAGTTAGCTTTCAGTGGAGAATATTTGTTCAAAACACTGTGTAGTCCAGGACTAGGCTTAATACCTCTCCAGGAAACCAAACCTAAGGGTCTATATTTATGTTTACAGTGTTTGACAGACACTCTTTTCCAGAGCAACTTACAGTTTGATCATTTTTACAAAGGTAGTTGTTAGAAGTCTTGCCCAAAGATTCTTACTTGTGTTGCATACGGTGTTTGCCTGGGCGGGGCATCAAACCCCAGTCTGCAGCATGGAGGTCAGAGGTGTTACCCACCACACCACTGGTGACCAAAATCTACTTTACTTTTTTAGAGTTTAGTTCCAACCTACATCTGACATGCTGCCCCTCCCCATACCTACACTAATGCATCTGATTCAGCCAATCGGAGACCTCTGGGGAAGTTAATTAGTGGAGCAGGTGTGGCAGATTGTGGTTGGAAATAGGCTTTACAGGAAGGTAGATCTCCAGGACCAGGGCTGGTTGCACCTGCACTACACCATACCAGCCACTCTATATGTATATACACTTCCTCATGCTGATAACTACTTATATATTCAAGTTTTTGTGCAATTTATCAGTTTTAAAAAACACTTTTAGCACTAATGATAGTCTCTTTATGTGGAGAAAGCCTTGAAAAGAACTCCAACAAAACTGCACCAAGGCTACTGTGAAGCGCGGAGGTGGAAACGTCTGGGGCTGTTTTTTTCCTTACAGTGATGTCATTGAGCTTGTGTTTATTGATGGGATCATTAAGTGGACAAAAGCTGAAGTCTTCATAGAAACGCATGTCATATTAACCACCTTTTGATTAATACTTTTACTTAAAGTTACGCTAGTCTTGGAAAAGCCTGTTTAAATTAAATGCTTGACATTTTATTTTTCAGGTATGGCATATGTTGTAGAGCTTGGCGATTTGACAAACAAATAAGTTATGACATTTATTTTTTCTGACATCTGGTAAGCTGAAACAGATAAGGCAGAAAAAATACATTGAAAACTATAATTCCAATTATTTATATCTATCATTGCACACTGTACTGGGTTAAATCCAGTTAAACAGGGCTAATTATGCTCTCTTTGTGATCAAACATGCAGTTGAAAAGTGTTTTTAAGCACTGACAGTGTCCTCAATATGCTCAGAAAAGCGTATTCTGACCTATCGTGATGTAATTGATCCTGATAACCATAAATATTGTCATATTCCTACCTATATGTCCTACCTGCCTATGTCATACCTAGTATGTTGTTTCTAATGTTGTTTTTCTCTCCTTTGCTGTAGGTAAAGTTATGACGGCCTGTAGGATCCACTAACACTCTTCTCTCCATATTCCCCATCCAGCAAGCAACACAACAACTGTAAGACAACTTTATCTGGTTTATCTGTCTCTGTTGTTATGATGTTTAAGATTCATGAAGTGTGTATATTTGGACATGGACAAAGTTATGCTTTAAATAATGCTTGTAATTCCTACACCGTTCACCCAGTTTGGATGGAAATACCCTAAGATTCAAACTGTTTCCTCGTGGCTGCAAGGCACTGGGTTGTTTTGCCCAGGCCGGGCAACCTATTTTCTGTGTGGAGTTTGCATGTTCTCCCCGTGTCTGTGTGGGTTTCCTCTGGGTGCTCTGGTTTCCTCCCACAGTCCAGAGACATGCAGTCAGGCCGATTGGAGATGCTAAGTTGACTCTAGGTGTGAACGTATATGTCTGCGCTGTCCTGAGATGGACTGGCGGCCTGTCCAAGGTGTTTCCTGCCTTCCGCCCAATGACTGCTGGGATAGACTCCAGCACCTCCGCAACCCAGGAGGATAAGTGGCTTAGATAATGTGTGTGTGCTGTGGTAGACAACTAAAATAACTTTGTTGATGTCCAAATATTTATGTACTTGACTGTCTGTTCATATAGCATTGCTATCATCCCCTTTATAGGAGAATGTAAAACGTTCTTAACTGTAATTCATAAAACCGATAGTTTCGGATCTGATTGGCTGAGCTGCGTTCTAAGCCGTTGTAAAATCCACAATATACCACACCTATGATGTCTCACAGCGACTGAACTCTGTATTACTGCACCACGGCACGAAAAAACCTTTGTGCCGTTAATGGAATAAACTTTGACTCTTATGCTGCTCACATGGACCACTGAGTGTACTGATGAAGTAAGAACCTGTTTTTTTGTTTAAACTGAGTGGCTGGCAACTTATGTTCTTAACTAGAACTAGGCTGGTCAGCTAGCTAACAGGCTAAAAGAGCCAACAGCCTAAACACCTCCATCATTAATATCACAGGCTTGAATTAAAGTACTTACAGTATGATTAACTGTAAAACGGCAGTATAAAAGACTGAAAATGTCACTTTAAATTACTGACTTGCTTCAAATTTCTGTGTTTCAGTCAGAAGTAGCATCAAACACAGGCTGTATCCCAAATGGCTCTGTACTCCCTAACTGGTGTGCTAGCTATGAAAGTTTAGAAACTCTAGCCTCTACAGCCAAATAGTGCATCGTGTACCGAGTGTGGATGAGTCTGAGTCTCAAATGACTGTTTCTTAGCTGTATTTGCTCTGTTGGGCTGCAGGATCCAGTATTTAAATTCCTATGTAGTGCACTACGTAGGGAGCAGTGAGCCATTTGAGATTCAGCCCCAGTGTGAGAAGAGGGGCACAGCTGGATTGGTGCTAAATAAGACTCGCTGTGGTAATTCAGTGACCAAAAAGTACTTATAAAGAGAAAGTTTTTACATGAATCAGTGCTGTGTTATCATATGTTCACTGTAATACAACAAAAACTTAAAAACATTCGTGAAATGACTGCAACATACAGTGATGGGCAACCGAACATTCTCCTTATTCAGAGGTCCGTGGTTGCTTGGCAACGATTCTGGACTTTAAAGGAACTACATTTCTTGGCGAAATACTTTTGTCGATTATTGTTAATAATAACTTATTATCTGAAAAATTGTGTATTTTATTATATTTTATGTTGGCCTCTCGTGGCTTACTGCTTTAGTAAATCTTGCAGGGGCATTTCTGTTTGTCCATTCATCTCAATATGCTCACTTAATGTAAATGGCAGCTGGAGTTTTAAAATTTTATAATAAAACATAAAAAAGTAGACATTTTGTAAAAATTGTGTTATTATGTTTCCTGACGACAACAACAATATATTTTTTTTGCCTTTTCCTAGTTCTTAATTTAATTCCCCTAGTAGAATTTATATCTGTGGAACAGCAGCTGACCATCATGTCATCATGGCACAAAATGAATTATGCAGTTAGGCTGAGTTTCTATCTGCTCTGCACGAGAGACTAAACCTCTCTGTGTCCCACTCAAAGACACTGATTCTGAGAAATATACAGCGTTTAGATAGTGAAATCTTTAATGTTGAGCAGTTTCTTGCTTCTGTTTTGTTGAATTTTATGCCTGTATTTCACATCACAGAAGCGCAGAGACAAACCGCTCTGATAAATATAGTGGCTCAAGACTAGAGGAAGGTACTTTCTCTCTGTTTACTGTCTAATATCTGTGTTGTTTTTGGTTTCATAAGATAAAAGTGTGTTTCACATCTTCATCAGTTGGCTGGTACCTGCTATCTTGGTCAGGTTTCATAGCTGAGGCCCCCAAACACTTGATCAGTCATATGAGCTTGTTGTATTCATGTATCCATTATATATGCAAATGAATTTGGATCATAATTTATTTGTACTAAAGTAATCATCTAATACAAACCAGCACAGCTTCAAATTAGGAAACTTTTATTATAGGAAAACCTTCAGGTTTCAATGACACAGATTGCACAAATGCATACCTGTATACACTGGATATTTCAGTGTATGATAGGACTCCATGTTTTTTATACTGTATGTGTACACTATGTGTATGATACATATACATGTACACTGATATGATACATATACATGTACACTGATCAAACCACCTCCTTGTATCTGCAATCATTGTCCATTTTATCAGCTCCACTGACCATATAGGAGCACCTTGTAGTTCTACAGTTACAGACTATAGTCCATCTGTTTCTCTGCATACTTGGTTACCCTGTTCTTCAGTGGTCAGAACCCCCATGGACCCTCACAGAGCAGGTATTATTTGGGTGGTGGATCATTCTCAGCACTGCAGTAACACTGACGTGGTGGTGGTGTGTTAGTGTGTGCTGTGCTGGTCTGCGTGGATCAGACACAGCAGTGCTGCTGGAGTTTTTAAACACTGTGTCCACTCACTGTCCACTCTATTAGACACTGGTCATCCTCTAGTCCTTTATCAATAGTCACAGGACGCTGCCGACAGGACACTGTTGGCTGGATGTTTTTGGTTCTCAGTCCAGCAGCGACACTGAGGTGTTTAAAGACTCCAGCAGCACTGCTGTGTTTGATCCACTCGTACCAGTGCAACACACCACCTAACACACTAACACACCACCACCACGTCAGTGTTACTGCAGTACTGAGAATGATCCACCACCCAAATTACGACGCTCTGCGGTAGCGTCGTAAGTTTCGAGCCCCAGTCATGTTTCGAGTCTGTTTAAGGGGAATTCCACTGATTTTGCAAATTTCCTGTATTATTCAACCGTTGAGATATAAAGTCATTCAGAGTGGTTTGGTGTGAAATTGGTGTTCACTATAGAGGAACTCACAGACTCTGATTTCTTTACAGTGGTGGTGAGAGGAACCGGGGATCACCTTGACGACAACACAAATATAGACATTTTATTTGCTATCCAAAACCACCAGTGAACCTACACGAGTCTTCTGAGGTTTTACATACAATGATGACGATGGTAACATATTGGTAAATCTGAAAATAATAAGTTTTCTTTGGGGACTATTTTGCCTTAAAATGCCATGCATGTATCCCTCCACCATTAATTTTAATAAAAACACATTTTAGGCCAAAATCTTTTTTAAAACCATCATAAAACTTTCTCAGACATCAGGCAATATATTCATAACCATTTCATGTAGAAACTTTCTGTGAGGGAGCTTTTAGAGGTGGACGTCTGGTTCCTATCACCACCACTGTGAACAATTTTGACTGTAAGTTTCTCTAGAACGAAGCGTTTCACACCAAACCACTCTCAATGACTTTGTTTACGTCTTTTCCATTTAATAATGCAGAAATTTTGAAAAATCAGTGGAATTCCCCTTCAAGGGCAAGTCAATATGTGACTCGAGTGCGATTCAATTCCTAGTTGCAGACTTGAGCCCCCGTCTCTTAACCTGTGTAGTGTAATGCTGCTGTAAGAAGCTGTCTATCTTGAGTGTGTGTGAGAAAACAGCTCCAGTCTTGAGGATATTTTACATATTCAGATGTGTGTCAATATCTCAGACACAAACTACAACTTAAAAGTTCTTGTTTCTTGTTGCTCAGTTCCACTTTCAGGAAGAATCAAAATAGCCTTCAGATTAAAGTGGTAAACAGGCGAAACAGCCATTTACACTTTTGACCTAAAACGTGGCTTTTGCTCATAAAGGAAGAGTGCAAGCATATACTTGCAAGTGCATGTGTGTGTGTGTGTGTGTGTGTGTGTGTGTGTGTGTGTGTGTGTGTGAGGTGTTCAATGTTTTACAGGATGCACAGCTCTTATGGTGCTTCCTGTAAGAGCTGAAACTCTAGAAAACCCTTCAGTAACTGCATTTAAGCAAATCAGAATGAACTGTGAGCCCAAAACAGCCCGAATGAAAGTCTTTTTACTGCAATGAAATAATTTCTCAAGCAGACGTCAAAGTAACCACCAAAAACCAACCAAATCTTCTGGAGTGCCGAGTTCCCCCGAAGATCAGCAGTGGACCCTCTTAGTAAGTGAACACATCGTCTACAGAGAACACACTTAAATGTGGCATTTTTCTGCTAATTATTTGCTGAATTGAACACACACACACACATATATATATATATATTATATATATATATATATATATATATATATATATATATACATAACTTTTGCACAGGCTAGAATTAGATGTTTTTCATCTAATTTGTTCAATTCTGCAAATAAACAGTAGGGGTGTGCTGCCTGTAGAGCAGGTGTTCACTAATTTTCACTTAGACAATAAACAATAACATGTCCTTTGACCAGGGGCGCCCAAACTTTTGCATACAATTGTATCAATACACAGTCATACACAGAAATAAAGGTATGAAACTGGGGCAGTGCCCCTCTTGTCACTGGGGTGGGACCCTCAAGGCTCCATCTCAGTACCTTCAGTCAGGGAACATAACTGAACCATAATCCACTGAAATGATATGTTCTAAGCTGTACTGACTCCACACACCCCGTCTCGCCTCCAGGCTTTTATTTTACTGTTCTGTTTTAAAACATTCAGTTATGAAAAGGTACAAATACAAACTTTTCACCTGGAAAAACTTATTTAAGGCTCACAATCAGACCTTAAAACCACTGTTGGACCTTTGAGAGAAGAATTACATTGTTTGTACCTTGATGAACAAAAAATGTACCTGAACAGAACCTTTATTTCTAACAGTGTCAGATCAAATGTCATTCCCTGATTATAAGCATGAGGTTAGAAAATGAGTATGTAAAAATGAAGCATAACAGTTTTTTAGTTGAGGGTCATATGGGTCCCGGAAAACGTGGGAAGTCATGGAAACTAAACACACCAAAATCTAGCAATGAATTATCCTTGAAAAATAATAAATCATCCTTGAAGGTCATGAAAAATACTGTCATGAGCTTCTTTTATTTATTTTTTATTATTTGTTCATGAAGTAAAACCAAAACTTTGATAGTAACCTAATTTCGTGTTTCACAGTGCCAGTGAACATGCATTCGCCGTGTCACTTTGCATGAGCATTGCATCGCTAGCTTTAGCCTGGACAGTCTTTCAGCTGAATATCAGCCGCAGTCACACTCAAGCGTGGCTGCGCTATGAACAGCAAGAGCTCCTGTTCACTCAGGGCTGCTGCTAGTGTTTCAACACTGCCATCAATCTCTTCATACATGGCATATATAAAGGTTAATATGTGAAGGTAAATGTCAAGCAGTTACTATCTTGTTGTAAGCCTTTGTTGCTTCATGCTGACATTAAGTACATACTTATCTACATCTTTCATTGCAGGTCATAATTTAAAATCACTGTTTAGGTTCACAGCATTTTGCTCCATACTGGAGGACTTCATCTCTTAAAATCTTGTTTTTTGGTAACCCCTTAAATAGCCAGGTCCCACCAGCAGGCCTAAGGTTTATCACAGACTACTATAACCTAAGAATAGCTCAGCCAGCTTACATTGAAGTCCCTGTAGTTACTGAATTATAAGCCTTTGTATGTAATAATCCTGAGATTTTAAAGGGGATAAATCATGAAAAGCTCTGGAACTTGTTTGATGCATAAACCACAAATGTCACAAGTTGACAAGCCTAAATACAATAGAAATAGAATAAGAATGTACGATATGAGCTCTCTAAGTAAATCTGAATGAACCGCATGTTTGGTACAGCCAGAACGAAGCCTTCAAGAAGTGAAAACGTGTCTCTGGGTTCAGCGACGTTACTTGTTGTAGCGTATCGCTGTTGTCGGAAGAAAACCTTGTATCTCCAAAATGATAACTTTACAGGAGAAGGAAAAAACCTACCTTAATTTTAATGTAAGTCAATGGAACCAGATTTTTTTCCAAGCAATTTTGGACCCTTTCCTGTTGCCCATTTATCATGAAATTTACACACAATGTAAAGAGCAATAAGTGTTTTCATATTATGTCAAAAACTGAAAAACGACAAAAATGGAGATATGAGGTTTTCTTCTGACAGCAGCGATATGTTAAATAGAATGCTGTTTGTGTTTGGCCGACTTTCATTGCAAAACACTTCAAAGCTGAAAGAAATACCTAATACCAGCCTTAGCTGGGGAATAAGGCTCATTTTATGCCCTTGTTGTGACGTCATCACCTTTTAGGTCAAAAGAGTTTCAGTGTGTGCTTTTAAAAATAGTTTGGAAAATAAAACTCTCAAATCATCATTTAGAACCTGCTTTTCATACCAAAGAAGGCATAAAGGTTAACATGTGACATTAAATGTTAAGCAGTTACCATCTTCTTGCAACCCTTTGTAGCTTTATGCTGACAGCACATACTTCTTTGTCAGTCATTGTAGGCCATAGGTTAAAACCACGGTTTAGGTTGAAATGATTTTGCTGTGGATATTCCATACTGGAGGACTTCATCTCTTAAAATCTTGTTTTTCTGGTAACCCCTTACATAGCCAGTGCCCACCGGCAGGCCTAAAGTTTTATTACACACTACTGTAACCAAGAATAGCTCAACCAGTTTGCACTGAAGACCCTGCAGTTACTGAATTATAAGCCTTAGTATGTAATAAGCCTGAGATTTTAATGGGATAAATCATGAAAAGTTGTTTGATGCATAAACCTACACAAATGTCCATACTGGAGTACTTAATCTTTGGTCCAGGATTTTTTTTTTTTTCTGTTTTTTTCCCTTTAAAATAACCCCTTACATGGCCAGGGCCCATCGGTGGGCCTGAAGTTTTATTACACACTTCTATAACCTAAGAATAGCTCAACCAGTTTGCATTGAAGTCCCTGTAGTTACTGAATAATAAGCCTTAGTATGTAATAAGCCTGAGATTTTTATGGATAGTTCTGGAACTTGAAATGAAAATGTAATATATGAGCTTTCCAAGTAAATTTGAATGAACTGCATGTTTAGCAGAGCCAGAATGAAGCCTTCAAGAAGAGAAAACGTGTCTCTGCGTTCAGCGACGTGCCCCATTTTTTTCCTCCCTGTGTTTGGTTAATGCTCACGCCTGAATGGCTGACTAACCGCACGCGCTGCACCCGAGCTCACAGGCCCGGCAGACACGAGAGCAGGTGTTCGGCCTCTATCAGACACCAGAAAGCTGAGGTTAACACGTTTCTTTTTCTTTTTTTTTTTTCTGGGTGCTGCCTTTAGGGTCTTCCGTGTTTGTCATATCCTTTCTTTTGAAATCCTCCCTCTCTTTCTCCAGAGTCCGCAGTTTCGTTGCCATGGAGGCCCGAGGACTGTACGACTTCAACGGCACGGCGGAGGACGAGCTCAGCTTTCGGAAAGGAGACACTCTGAAGGTAGCTAACGCAGAAAACAAGCAGTGACGGTGATGGGTGTTCATGTTTACAGCTGTGCGGTATTGCCTGTTGGTCAAAATGAGCATTTCAAAGTGTTTGTAACACAAAGGAGCATGTTTACGCGTTGTAGCATGTATTAAATAAAGTTTGTGTTTGGTCAGTTTTCATTGTGAAACTCTTCAAAGCTGAAAGGAACACCTGGTACAAGCCTTAGATGTGGAATACAGCTCATTTTATCCCCTTGTTCTGACGTCATCACTCAAACCTTTCAGATGTTTAAACCACTTTTGGGCCAAAAGAGTTTCAGTGTGTGCTTTTAAAAGTAGTTTGGAAAATAAAACTCTCAAATTGTCATTTAGAACCTGCTTTTCTTACTGAAGAAGGCGCTTTGATGAACATGAAGCTGAGTGTTGTGTGTATATATATATATATATATATATATATATATATATATATATATATACACATACATATCACTGCTGTCAGAACAAAACTTTGTATCTCCATCTTTTTCAGTGTTTGACGTAATTTGAAAATACCTGTTGCCCTTTACATTGCGTGTAAGTTGCGTGATGAATAGACCAAAGAAATGGTTTTCCTTCTCCTGTAAAGGTACAGGAGATACAGGGGTTTGGTCGGACAGCAGCGATATATTTCAGGATTAACACACAGCTGATTTATGCTAACTAAACATAGGTGGTTTTAATTAGCTCATTGAAAGGTAATAGTGAAAAATGTTACTTGAAAAACTTCTCTAAATAGTTTAGAGGTTGAGATGGAAACAAACTCAGACAGTGGTGGTGATAGGAACCGGGGGGTGACAACATCTACAGCACAAATATAGCCATTTTATTTACGATCCAAAACCACCAGTGAACCAACACGTGTCTTCTGAGTTTTATATGGAATATTGTTTATGGTAAAATAGTAATAAATATGAACATAATATTTTTTTGGGAACTATTTTGCCTCATGTTGCCCCACATGTACCCCTCCACCATTAAAGAATACATTTTAAGCCGAAAACTTGTATCTCTAAAAAAAGTACCTTTACAGGAGAAGAAAAAACTCTTAACTTTCAGTGCAAGTTACCTTCGAATTTGAAGGTTTTGTGACACTTAGACCAACAGAAATGGCCAAAAACGACTTAAAATTAAATATTGTTACATTAACTTACATTGAAAGTTCAGAGTGTTTTTTCTTCTCCTGTAAAGGTACTTTTCTGTTAACCCTTTGTTGGAATATGACGGCTAAAAGCAGAGCAATAATATCAGGATTTTGGGTGATTTTCCGAGCCAAATTACTCACTGATGTCGATGTCACAGCTCAGTAATGTCATGCAAGTTAGGGGTGGGTCTGCTGAGTGCTCTGATATGTGGATCAGGTCTGTAGCTTAAACCGATGTGAAGTTATGAAGCCTAGAAGTCAACCACGCATTTTGTCTGAAATGCAGGCTTCGGGTTCTAAGGGTTAAAAAAAAAAAAACTTTGAGAAGGAAATATTGTTCAATGCCTCAGACATCAGGCAGTGAATTCATAACCATTTCATGTAATAACTTTCTATGTGGGAGCTTTTAGAGGTGGATGTCCGGTTCCTATCACCACCACTGTGAACAGTTCTGACTCATTAACTTCTACTAAAATGGAGCATTTCACAACAAACCACTCTGAATGACTTTGCTTATATCTTAACCGTTTAATTATGCAGAAATTAGTGGAATTCCCCTTTAACATGTCTCTCTGTGCAGATCCTGGGCTCTCAGGATGATTGGTATAAGGCTGAAATGCACGGCCACGAGGGCTTCGTGCCTAAAAACTATGTGGACAGGCCAACACCCAAGTGAGTGTGAGCTGCATGGTGTGCTTGACCAGTGTGGACATGCACCATCACCTGTTTATTTATTAATTTATTTATTTATTTATCCGATCTCTTTCAGCTGGTTCCAGGAGAGCGCCTCTCGCGGTGCAGCCGAGGAGATTCTGATGTCCAAAGAAGTCGGAGCCTTTCTGATCCGCGGCAGCCAGAGTTCACCCGGAGACTTCTCCATATCCGTCAGGTCAGTGCAGGTCAACGGGGCACATACGCTGAACCAGGGGAGGCTTTTCCGAATCTCTGCCTTCAGGGCAGAATCAATTTCACTGGATGTTTCACACTGTCTCCCCCCTGTGATGTCAGAGCTCATCAGCACTCAAACCATGTTTGGACCAAAAAAGCATCAATCTGTGCTTTTAGTAAGAGTTTGGAAAAGAAAAGTGTGACATTATTTAGAACCTGATACTTTGGTGAACATGAAGATAAATATAGTCAAAGCATTGACACACAGCTGCTTTATGATCACTCAATCTTTACAGGAAATTTAGAGTAACAGTGAGAATCTAGCAATTCTCAGAAAATTTCAAACCCTAGACTTTTCACACGTGTGGCGTTAAACCCATTTCATATTAATTTAAATTAATTGCTAGTAATTACTGATAATATCACAAGTGATATACACATATATATCATCGCTGTGAAAAAAAAGTAACTTTACAGGAGAAGGAAAAAAAAACATTCTTAGCTTTAAATGTAGGTTAATGAGATTTATTAATGAGTTAAAGAGATTTTATGTATTTTTTGGATTTATTATAGATTATAATTTTGTAGAAAATGATAGAATATATATATATATATATATATAGAGAGAGAGAGAGAGAGAGAGAGAGAGAGAAAGAGATAGACAGATAGATGGTTTAATGACACACCCATGAAAATCTGGAGTTTGAAATTTTGTAGTTGTATATTAGTATATAAGTGTATTTTATACATAGTATATACATTTATATTTTTATGTTATATTCTGTTTATGTAGGTATCATGAAGCCTTATGAACAGCAGCCTCTGTAAAGTGTGTTTATGTTATTTTCTGCATTTTTAGGCATTTTATGCCATTTTTAGACATGAGGTTTTGTGCTGACAGCGGCGAGAAATATAGAGAAATAAAAATGTTTTTTCCAAAATATATCACCTTTTAAAAACTCACATCTGGCAATGCTTTACTGTAGGATTCTGTTCATAAGACTACATAAACTTGTCATGACAACTGACATAACATCATTATGGTGAATGATGCATATTGGAATAAGCATTTGTAAACATTTATGTAGAGTCAAGTCAGTTGTGATGATGAGTTTATGTAGGTGTCATGAAGCCTTATGAACAGCAGCCTACGGTAAAGTGTCACCAAAACTGTTACAAATGGATACACAGTGTTTTGGAATGAAATCCTTCAAATGTTGATATTATCTTTAAAGTAGCAAATACAGTGTCGCCTGAAATACTATAAGCTAAACACCAGAATGTATTTTAAGATGTTTTAATCAACATTTAAAGCTGGAGATTTGATCAGCACATTTCAAATATGAGGCATTCTGGATAATAATTTATTAGAACTCTAACATCTAACATTTTTTACAGCTTCATACTAATTAAAGTAGGAATCCTGTGACGCTGTAGAGTCGTAGCATCATAATAAAAGCATAGAGACTTTTTTATGAAATGATTAGATGTGAAAGCAGAGTGACCTGTCAGCTCGTGAGGAGGCCACGTTTGATTAAAGTCAAATGGGTAAAACCTAAAAACAGATCAGGGCAGTTATAGCAGGCAATGCTAATTACATTTACGTGATTCAGAAATGTGCATCATTTCCTCTTAAATACAGTGTTTTACATTAGCAAAGTCATCAGTAACCTGAAAGACCAAACTGGACTGATGTGGGAAGAACACACACTTTAACATCAATTCAGTTCAGTGCGGTGAAAGAGAGAGATGACGTTTACCACCTGTATCTCTATCTCTCTCGCTCTCTCTCTCTCTATCTTTCTCTCTATCTCTCTGTCTGTCACTCTCTTGAGGTTTCCCCAGAGTTCCCCTACAGTCTCTGTCTATCAGTCTCTGATTGCCCACACAGACGCTGTACCTGCCGGACGGAAATGTCCCATTAATAATTAATATTACATCATCGGCAGCTGCTGCCCTCGAACTGCGGTCAGAGCCGAGTGATTAGTTGGAGTCGACTTCTCATAAATCAACCATGTGTTTAAACTCCATCCATCATATCAGACAGAGAGAGAGAGAGGGAAGAGAGAGAGAGAGAGAGAGAGAGAGAGAGAGAGAGAGAGAGAGAGAGAGAGAGAGAGAGAGAGAGAGAGAGAGAAGAGGGAGAGAGAGAGAGAGAGAAGGGCGGGATAGAGAGAAAAAAGTGAGAGACAGAGGGAGAGAGAGAGTGAGAGAGAGAGAGAGAGAGAGAGAGAGAGAAACAGAGAAGAGACAGAGCGAAAAGAGGCAGAAAGAGAGAGAAAGCCCAAAAGAGTGAAGAGAGAAAGGAGAAAGAGAGAGATTGAAAAAGAGAGAGAGAGAGAAAAGAAGACTGATAGAAAAGAGAGAGAAAAGAAAGGGCAGAGAGAGGAGAGATAGAGAGAGAGAGAAAGTGAGAGACAGAGGGAGGGAGAGAGACAGAACACCAGAGAGAGAAAGAGAAAATGCAGAAAGATAGCAAGAGAAAGAAAAGAGACAGGAAACAGAAGAGAGAGAGAGGACAGAGTGTGTGGTCACTGCAGGACAGGTGAGGTAGAGACAGAGGTACACTTCCTAATGAACTGCCCAAAATATGATCCTATTAGCAATAAATATTTTAAGCAATCTGAAAAACAGATAAACAACTTCAGGACGTTGGGAGATAAAGATTATTATTAAAATTATCGATTATATTAGGAGGGGGTACAGCAGGGTCCACTGCAGCCAGATATGTATACGAGTGCCATACACTCACAGTTATATATGTACATATGTAATATAGATGTCCTTCTTTATATATATATATATATATATATATATATATATATATATATATATATATATATATATCCCTACATTTGATTATTAACATTTTCTTTTCTCTTTTCTATTATAAACTACACACACATATTCAATAGGTTTTCTTTTATTATTACATGTACTTTTATATTATTAATTTATGATTAACACTTTCTGTTCTTAATTATTACATTATCATATATTAATCTTGGTTTATATTTTGTTCCATTATTATTATTATTATTATTATTATTTTAAAATATTTTTCTTTCTTAACTTTTAATATAGAGATCATTTTTTGTTGTGCTTTGACAATGCAAATGTACATTTGTCATGTCAATAAAGCACATTTGAACTTGAACTTGAACTAGAGAGAGAGAGAGAGAGAGAGTGAGAGAGTGAGCGAGAGAGAGAAAAGGCAAAAAGAGAGTGAGCGAGAGAGAAAAAGAGAGAGAAAACAGAAGAGAGAGAGAAACAAGACAGAAAGAGAGAGAGAAAGCAAGAGAGAGAGATAGAAAAGAAAGAGAGAGATAGACACAGAGAGAGAGAGAGAGAGAGAGAGAGGACAGGGAGATGGAGGGAAGGAAAGATAGAAAAGTAGGGAGAAAGAAAAAAGGGAGAAAGAGAAAGAGAAGAGAGTGGGAGAGATACTAATTAAAAAATCAAGTAAAAAAAATAATGTTATTATATAATATAATTGTCTTATTTTTTATTTACTTTCTCTATTTTTATTAGTTATTTCACTTTGAATATTATTATTATTATCATTCATTCTATATTAGCGTTTAGTTCTGTGTTCAGCTTTATGGTTTATGTGCTTTGGCAACATTGTTTTTAAGACAAAGACTCATTTTGCTCCCTCTAGTGGTGATAAGGGGTAAAATATTGTTTGAGACAGACTGACCACACATGAGCTTCTGTTGGCTGAAGTAAAGACTTTTAGAAGTTTGGTTTTAAAGTGTTTTGGTCGAGCATCAAGTTCTGATTACGCGCCGTTCACTGTGATCCAGTATTTTATATATTATCTGATTAAAAGATCATTTTTGTTCTCTAAAGTCACTTCCTGTGTAGAAAATACCACCAAATACTGTAAACAGGCTCTTCACCTCTCAGTGAGGGGCTTCTGTCCTCTTACTGACCACTGTAGACTATAAACACTGTACAATTAGAACTCATCTCTGAGTGTCTGTTCAGCTGCAATGTCAAACTTGGACCAGCAGAGGGCTGATGTGGTGGATTAACCCTTTCATCTCCAACAACTGATGAGGAGAAATGCCACACAATTTGTCTTAATTGGTTTACAGTGATGACAATTTGTATATTTATGTTTCACATGAATATTCAACAGTACATTTAATTTCATACCAGTTGTTCAGTTAAGAAACAGTAGTGTTGTGACCGAAAGACTGAAGTTAATCAGACAAATTAAACAATACAAACTCACTTTTTAGCTACATAGTTTGACCTAATTTGGAAAAAACAGAACATTTGGGTGAGAAAATGTAAAATAAGTGAAATGAGGTCTTGTTTATTTGATTTTATGAATTAATTCATTTATTTTTGTCTTTTTTTTTTTACAGGCACGAGTTTGACGTGCAGCATTTTAAAGTGATGAAGGACAATAAGGGTCACTATTACCTTTGGTCAGAAAAGTTCACCTCCCTGAATAAGCTGGTGGACTACTACAAGACCTCCTCCATTTCCAAGCAGCGGGAGATCTACCTGCGGGACGGGGGCCGAGACGAAGCCAGACCCTCAGCGCCTCAGCCGGTAAACACACTGACACCCACTCGCTCAAACCACCCCCTCTTTTTCTGCCCTATTTATTTATTTATTTATTTATTTATACTACCATTCAAAAGTTTGGAGTCAGGTTTAAATAACATAAACACAGTTTTATTCTATATAAATGTAAAAAAATAATTATTTTATGATCCTAATACTTTTCACAAATTTCAATTAATTATATTCAATCAATAATTAGAAGGTGTAAAAACACAGAAACACTATTTGTGCTCAGAGTGATGAATAGAGCTATAGAGTCTAAGAGGACAGAAAGAAATATTAATAATGAAGTTCTAATAATATTTATGTCTAGAAAGAAATTAGAATACAATTAATATCTAGAATGTATCTAGAAATCTAATAACATTCATATTCATAGTGGAAATTATAATGAAATTAATATCCAGATTGAAGCTCTAATAAAATCCATTTCTGGGATGCAAAAGTAATAAATTGTATTTAAATAAATTGTAAATTAATACACATGAATATAATTCTAATAAAATATCTAGAAGCACTCAGAATGAAATTATAATGAAATTAATATGCAAAGTTCTAATAAAATTAATATCTTGGATGAAGCTCTGATAACAATTGTATTCATAGTGGAAATTATAATCAAATTCATATTTATACTGAAGTTAAAAAATTAATAATTTCTGGGATGCAGCTGTAATAAATTGTTATCAAATGCATTGTAATAAAATAAACTAATCATGAATATAGTTCTTATGAAAGTAATATCTAGAATAAAATTATAATAAAAGCAGTACTCAGAATGAAATTATAGTGAAATTAATATGCAAACTAAAGTTCTAATAAAATTAATGTATGGAATAAAATTATAATAAAATTAATATCCATAATGAAGCTCTAATAACATTTACATTCATAGTATTAAATTATAATGAAATTTAAATCCAGATTTAAGTTCTAATAAAATTAATTGATAATTTCCAGGATGTATTAATAATAAATTGTACTCAAATTAACTGTAATAAAATGAATAACCATGAATATAGTTGTAATAAAATTAATATCTAGGATAAAATTATAATAAAAGCAGCACTCAGAATGAAATTATAATGAAATTAATATGCAAACTAAAGTTCTAATAAAATTAATATCTGGAATGAAATTATGATCAAATTAATGTCCATAATGAAGCTCTAATAACCTTCATATTCATAGTGGAAATTATAATGAAATTAGATAGAAGATCTAATAAAATTAATTTCTGGGATGCATTTGCGATGAATTGTAATCAAATTAATTGTAATAAACATTAATAAACATTAACAACATAGAACAAAATTATAGTAAAAGCAGTGCTCAGAGTGAATAATGAATAATGAGTGAATATAATGAAATTAATATGCAGACTGAAGTTCTAATAACATTAATATTCAGAATGAAATTATAATAAAATTAGTAAAACTCAACAAAAGCAGTGAGTGATTCCAAACTTTTGGATGGCAGCCTTAATAAAGCGCTCAGCGCAGAGCACGGCTACTGTTATGTGAGCAGTATTGATTTTACCACTAGCATTAGGATCTTCATTTATCAAAGATTGACCCAGAAACTGACCACTGATGAAGGCCAAGAGCCATTTTGTGCTTTCAACAAAAATCAGTATGGGCTAAAAAATATAATATAAACTCAGACGCGCTTTGCTCTGCTTTAAGCTTTACCTCAGCTGTAGCTGCTTTTCTCACATCTCCAGCAGGAAACCTTTCCACAAAAGCAGAACAGTTTCTTTGGAAACTGTCTCTTAACTTTTTACGAGGCTGAAGTCGCTTCTCATTCGCCAGCTTCTTGTTTGAATTCTCCCATTCCACCTTAAATGGTGCCTGAGGTGGCAGAATGTAACAGCCGCACCATTTAAGGTGGAACGGAAAAATCGGCGGCTGGCGAATGAGAAGCGACTTCAGCCTTGCGACTTTTCGCGTTTGTCAGTTTCTCACTGCAGATTAAACGTATCAGGAAACCAGCTGGAGTGATTATAAATGTAATTAAGTCCATTCGTCTCTAAATTATCGATGTTCGTCTTAAATCTCTCTCTTTGCCGCTTCGTTAGCTACTAGCTAGGCGAGACTGTTGTCTGTGTCGCTATGGTGACCAGCAGTCTGCGCTGATCTTCAGGGTTAAAGGGTGAATTAGCAGTTCTACATTAACTCCAGAGTTTAAGACCATTTATTGTTAAACTGTGTTGAACGATCAGCAGAGCTTTATTTTACTGTAAAGGAGGATTATTTTATTTTTACCTACAAATCTGATTCTGCTGTGGAGCCACAACAGGGCAGTAAAAGAGCCACATGTGGCTCCACAGCCACACATTGCCGACCCCTGGGCTAGAGGATGGAGAACACTGTGCATCAGCAGATGATCTTGTCTCTAACATTACAGCTGCCAGGTGGAGCTACAAGAGAAGGGGTTTCTGATAAAGAGGCCAGAGTGTGTACAGTGTGATTTTCTCTCTTGTTCAGGTAAAGAGAGGCAGTCTTCCTGAGGAAAGGCCCCCCCATGGAGGGGGCTATGGTCCTCCATCAGGGGGACACCGCAGACCCGCAGAGCCAGCTCACACTCAGCAGGTAACTTACGTCCATCTGCAGGCCTGGAGATATTCAGAGTTATTCAGCCTCTGTTATGGATTATTCAGCACGTGTGAAAAAGATTATCTTAATGATATCATTACTGATTTTTTTAGTGTTTATTAACCCTATACTGATGAATTATTTTATATTGGTTTATGTTGCTGTCTAACTGATGCCCTGGTCGTCTCATTTGTGCTCTTATCTTCAGAAACGGGGCAGTTTGGAGGAGAGAGCCCACACCATGGGCACCTCAGGCAGGAACAGCCCGAGTGGCACTGTTCCCGGCCCCAGACGGACTTCAGACACCCTACCTGCACCGGTACTGTAACATCACACAAACTTACACACATACATATCGCTGTTGTCGGAAACAAAACCTTGTATCTTCATTTTTGTTGTTTTTCAGTTTTTGATATAATTTGAAAACACCTATTGTTTTTTACATCATGTGTAAATTTCATGATGAATGGACCAAAAGAAACGGCCCAAAATGACTTGGAAAAATGTCTGGTTCCATTGACTTACATTAAAAGTAAAGTATGTTTTTTCCTTCTCCTGTAAAGTTACCATTTTGGAAATACGAGGTTTTGCTCTGACAACACCGATATGACATATATGGTCAGAGGCCACCCTTCATTTATTCAAATTCCAATCAAAAAAGGCCATTAAGGACAAGTTATTCATTTCTCAGGAAATATTTCTGAGATTAGATAAGATGATCCACTTGCATAAGGAAGGAAAAAACGCATTTCAAAAAATGATTAAAAGCTGCAGAGAAAATGGGGCTCCTAATGACCACCTGGAAGACCTGGTAGACACCAAAACTGTCCCCATCAGATAAACAGCACTTAAATCTTTCATCTCTGAGAGAGAGGAGAAAATCAAGCTGCTTCAGATCTGAAACAATACACAGCCATCCTTGAGAGAAGACCACTCAGCGCTATGGGTCTGAAAGGATGTGTAGCTGTCAAGAAGAACCTCACTGAGAAAAGAAAACGTGCAAAAATAGAAGAAAATCTATTAATGGGATTAATTGGGATTATATGGGTTTTGAGAAGCAGAAAAAGCTGAACCAACTTCTTAGACTAAACTTTGGAGGTGTGGAAAAATATCCCTGCAGGTTCCTGTTATAAAGTGAATTTGAGTGTCCTGAAAATAATGGAAAGATGTAGTAAAGGTAAAGAGTGGACACACTAAAGACTGAAAGATTCAGTGTTATATTTAGTCATTTTTTTTTTAATTTAATTTTATGTTAAATGTGTTTTCCTGGTGCTGGAAAATGAAAAACTTGTACTTAATGACCATGTTGAGTGGAAAGTAAACAAAATGAAAGAGTGGTCCCTGACTTTTAGTAGACAGTACTATATACACTATATGGACAAAAGTATTGGGACACCTATACATCACACCCTACAGAAGCTTTGATGACATCCCGTTCTAAATCCATAGGCATTAATACGGAGTTGGTCCCCCTTTGCAGCTACAACAGCTTCCACTCTTCTGGGAAGCTTTCTACAGGATTTTGAACTCACCCAGTCAGGCCTTTATGGAGCTGCTTTGTGCACTGGGGCTCAGTCATGCTGGAACAGAAAAGGTTCTTCCCCAAACTGTTCCCACAAAGTTGGAAGAGTACAATTGTCCAAAATGTCTTGTTCTGCTGAGTCATTAAGATTCCCTTCACTGGAACTAAGGGTTCTAGGCCAACCCCTGAAAAACAGCCCCATATCATCATCCCTCCTCCACCAAACTTTACAGCTGGCACAGTGCAGTCAGGCAGGTAACGTTCTCCTGGCATTCGCCAAATCCAGACTCGTCTATCAGACTGACAGATAGAGAAGCGTGATCCATCACTCCACAGTATGCGTTTCCACTGCTCCAGAGTCCAGTGGCAGTGTGCTTTACATCACTGCCCCTCTGACCCTTGGCATTGTGCATTTTGATCTTGGGCTTGTGTGCAGCTGCTCAGCCATGGAAACCCCATTCGCGAAGCTCCAAACGTGCAGTTCTTTTGCTGATGTTACTTCCAGAGGCAGTTTGGAACTCTTTAGTGAGTGATTTTATAGAGGATAGGCACTGTGAGCTTCAGCACTCGGCGACCCCACTCTGTGAGTTTGTGTGGTCTACCGCTTCGTGGCTGAGCTGTTGTTGCCCCTGGACGCTTCCATTTCACAGTAATAGCACTTACAGTTGACAGGGGCAGATCTAGAGGACGGTATTTCACAAACTGACTTGTGGCAGAGGTGGCATCCTATGACAGTGCCATATTTAAAGTCAATGAGCTCTTCAGTACGACCCTCTACTGCCAGTGTGTGTCTATCAAGACTGCAAGGCTGTGTACTTAATTTTGCTCACCTGTTAGCAATGGGTGTGGCTGAAACAGCTGAAATCAATAATTAAGAGGTGTGTCCCAATACTTTTGTCCATATAGTGTGTGTGTGTGTGTATATATATATATATATACACACATATTGTTTAGACTGATTAACAATGTGCTGTAGATGGTTCTAAATAGAAACCTTTTGAAAAGGGTTCTATATAGCACCAAAAAAAGGGTTCTTCTGTTGTAACAAGCCTAACATCATAACTGTAGAAGAACACTTTTTGGTGCTATATAGAAATATAGAACCCTTTTCAAAACGTTTCTGTTTAGAACCATCTACAGCACACTGTTAATCAGTCTAAAGAACACCTTCACAGTACAAAGAACCCTTTAATCATGGAAAGGGTTCTTTGTGTGTTCATGGTTCAATATAGATACCATTTTCTTTACTAAAGAACCCTCAAAGACCCATCGTTTTAAGTGTATAGCAAAAAGAGAAAATTGACATCCATTAATCCTTGAATGGGTCAGTTTTGACCATTTCACACTGCGATGTTTGATGTAGTGACTTTCTGCTGTCCGTGTTCTCACAGAGGTCAGTGGTGCAGGTGAGAGCGCTGTATGACTTTACAGCAGAGGAAGATGACGAGCTGGGCTTTAACGCTGAAGATATCATCGAAGTGCTGGACCGTTCCGATCCTTCATGGTGGAAGGGCCGGTTGCGTGGCAACATTGGCCTCTTCCCTGCCAACTATACTACCCAAATCTGACCAAAGCAAGACCGGGCAGCTCCACCATTACCTGACCAAACGGAGCCTTGCGAACGGATTCTTCTGCATTACGAAGATTGAATCACTTTTACAAAGTTGGATACTTCATCATCGTTACTAGTTACAAGGATGTGGACAACATGATGGGAAAAAACTCTACCGGTTGTCTACCTGTGCTTATAATGAGCTGGGTAAATCATATCTATCCATTCATATTTAATGCACACTTTGAACAAATGAGGTACGATTGGGCTACACCTTTTTTTTTAATAACTCCCACCAATTTCTACCACAGTGTCAGGCCTGTAATGCTATAGGCTACATGGGACCACATCTACATACATGTTACATGTATGGTAATGTATGTAAAAATACTCATATTTCTATGCTTTTTTCCCAATTCATTAAAACTGATGACAGAGCCACCACTAGAAGTGTGATCCTTTACAACTTAAAAATAGCATAACATTTTTTTTTGTGTATGCAGCTTTTTTTTCAGTCATCCTAAGAAATGTAACCAAACAACAACCTTTAAAATATAAAATACAAAATATACGTCTCTCATGTTCATTTTCTTTAAAGAAACTGTGAAATATGTTTTCTTTAAAAATAACATTGGAAGATTTGGATAAACAATAAAACCACCACTAAAATTGTAGCCTATATATACATTTCAGGACAGGCCGCACCTGCCGAGCCACTTCTAGGGTGGCCCTTCCTCATTTTGAGAGGAGTCTGTGGCTTCACAAGCTCCTCAAGCTTCTCTCTCTTTAGCTGTGACTGAGCTCAACTCGGCCTGACAAAATTGCTAAACTAGCCAAATAAAATAAGTTCATAAATAAATACAACTAAAACTGTGATGGTGAGAAATAAAGCACTAATTCTAATTCGTTACACTCTTAGCATCTCGATACACTGCAAAGAATGGTATCTTGTCAAGTAAAATTATCTTAAATATAGTCAATAAATCTAATATTTCTCCTGTTTAGATTGTTGTAAGCTTAATTTAAGATTATTTACATTATTTCTAGACATTTTTACATGTTTTAAGTCATTTTATTAAGTAAATGTATCTCAATATGTGCTTGAAATGTGCTTATTATTATCTGCCAGTATAGTGAGATAATTCTAGTTAATAAAATTACCTAAAACAAGTAAAAAATGTCTAAAAATGAGCTAGATAATCATATAAGTGCACAATCATCTCAAAATGGGAAATATTAGATATATTAACTAGATTAAAGATCATTTCTCTTGATAAGATACCAGTTTTTTGCAGTGCACTCATAAATTCTATATATGTGATAAAAGTGATTAACAAGAGCTGCATTTGCATGATTTACAGTCGCAGATGCTGTCATAGCAACTTCAGCCTGCACTGTTAATACACAGTTACTGCCTACTGGATACATATTGACCTGCAGTAACGATCGTCCTTAAAATCATGGTTAATTACGTTGCATTAATATAATTATTATAGGCTGCTCAAGCGTGTTTTGTTGATTTAAGTGAAAATAAGTCAACACATCCTACACAGGGAAAATTCTTAATTATGCCATTTTCTGCAAATTGTACTGCACAATTTCTATTATTATGCTGAGTTTAATGTGTTGGAAAAATTTGACACATACAATAAAATTTGCCTTCACTTTGGCACACATCACATTTTATGTTTATGTTATGTTAAATTCAGCAAATAAACAGTAAATGGGTCATTCTCCATTTGGAGGGGAAACCATGTCACAAAGATGCTTAAAATATTAGACACAGCTCCAGACGTCGGTATGTACGTTTACACAGTTGACCTAAGATTAAATAACACTTGTCTCTTATGATTCTCTGATTTTTCTTTATTTATCCTGTTTCATAGTCGCTCTGCATCTGTAAAACAACTCGTCACAAACCAGTTTTGAACCATTTTTAATATAAAACAATATTTAGGAGAGGTTTAGCTTAGAATGTGTATAAAACAGATTTGTGTTTAATTTTATATCATTAACGTTATACTACATTTAAAAAATATGTATTTTAAAAAAGGGATTTTGGTCACTGGTGTTATCAGGACTCTTATTTTACATTTTAACACAGTATTTTCAGCTCTATTAAACGGGTCGAGGCTCATTAGAGAGGAAGCAGCTCGGCATGAGAAGTCGAGTCACACTCGCTCACTATATTTCATTTATTTTATTAATAATTTTGTTTATCAGGCAGCTCATAACTTCTATGTGTCACTGGTGTTTTGTGCTTTAATGGCTGGGTAATTAAAATTTGGTCAAAATAATGCCAAATTATCATTTTTATTGCTGACTTTAAATAGTTGCACAAGGTCACCTGACCATCAACGAGTCAGCCAGTTTACAGAATCCTCAGTTTTAACCAGAATGTCACTGGAGTCACCGTCACTGGTGTTACACCACATTCATACAACACCAGTGACTGTAAAATATGTTTGTAATTAAGCCTTTTTGCATATATGATAATAAGAGATGTTGATAGACATATTAAGATTTAGTTTTGGGATGAAAGAAATTGATTTTTTAAAAAAGTACCCACCTGAATTCTCACTCTAAATGGAGAATGACCCAAATGCATTAAAATGTGCAGGAGTGTGTTCCCTGTAGAGGGCGTGTTCACTTATTTTCACATAGAAAATCAACAAAATATGTCATTTAAACTTTTTGCAACTGCATGCAGGGCAGTCAGAAAGCACTCTGACATCACAACTGCTTTACTGTCGCTTAACTATGGACGCAAGTTGGTTTAGTTTGTTAGCCTTTAGCTTACTTAAATAAACAAGCTATAAAACCAGTGTAAGCATAGCAGAGAATACATATTAGCACATTTTTTCAGACACTCATATATATCACCCCTGAGGGTTTATTGAAGCAGGTGAACATAATCATAACTCTGAGCAAACACCTTTTTTTCTGGGTGGTCTGGGTTAATCGAACTGTGGGAACGAGAAGCAGGACAAGGGTTCTAGTTTCGCACACTAGAATTCTACTGAGCTTAAATTAGCAAACTAATGGTTTACCAGATGTGGTGTAAAGTGAGAAATGACCATTTTCCAACCTCTCTTTACCCATTAGACTTAAACGGGTTGTTTTTGTTACTGCGCCTTTAAGACTGACATATGTAAATGAGCTCAGTTCTGATTGGCTGTCTTATATTATGCCTCGTTATAAAAGCAGTCTGAGCTGTAACACTCCTTATAACTTCAGCGTGAGTGAGTGGACTGAACTAAACTGCTGTAGGCTGAATAGGCAGGTATATGTAAATGCATTATTTTTTGTGACATCACAATTCAATATGAGCTGTTTTGCTGTTCCCATATACAGAGTGGGGTTTCAATGGTATGCATTAAAACAATGTTTACATACTACATCAAAGTTAATTTAAAAAAGGGAGGAAAATTCGGTTTTCCATGATATGGGCCTTTTAACACAACATGTACTAAGCCTTTTCTAAATCATTCAGAGCAGTTTAGTGTGAAATGCTTCATTGTAGAGAAACTTACAGACTCTGATATCTTTACAGTGGTGGTGATAGGAACCAGGGGTCACCATGACTACAACACAAATATAGACTTTTTTTTTATTTTTATAGAAACCACCAGTGAACCTACATGCTTTTATATGTAATGTTTATGATGGTAAAATAGTGGAAAACAACACAAATATAGCCATTTTATTTACTATCCAAAACCACCAGTGAACCTACACGAGTCTTCCGAGTTTATATATGAAGTGTTGATGATAAGATATATATATATATAATATATATATATAGTTTGGGTCAAAATCACTTTACAGTGGTGGTGATAGGAACCAGGGGTCTCCTGAGCTTTTATATGGAATGCTGATGATGGTAAAATAGTGCAAACTCTGAAATAATAGGTTTTCTTTGGGGACTATTTTGCCTCACAACGCCCTGTGTGTACCCTTCCACCATGAATGGATTAAAACAAATGGAAAATGCAAATTAAGCCAAAACTTTAACACAAAACTGTCATAAAACAATGTTACTGGTAATGTTTACACCTTAGCCATTTAATTGTGCAGACAATTTCAAAAATCAGTGGAGTTCCCCTTTACAGGTGCAGTAAGAGAAAAAGCCTGTTTAATTCTAAGAGATAAAGTTGGAAACTGGTCTTGTAAAAATCAGCTGTCACTTTTTAAGCACATAAAAGGACATAGATGTAAGAAATGGACCTCATAGGAACGAGAATAAAAAAAATGGACGATACAGTTATGAAAATGTACAAATTTGTACGTCTCCCCTTGGAAAGTGAAGGTAATATACCTTTAAACTCTTTAAAGGCACACAAGTGGACCTTAAGGAACATTAGGAGGGTACATTAAAGCGGAACTCCACTGATTTTTCCAAATTCTACATAATTAAATGGTCGAGATGTAAACAAAGTCATTCAGAGTGGTTTGATGTGAAATGCTACCGTTCTAGAGTCAGAACTGTTCACAGTGGTGGTGATAGGAACCAGACGTCCACCTCTAAAAGCTCCCACACAGAAAGTTACTACATGAAATGGTTATGAATTCACTGCCTGATGTCTGAGACTCTGTTTTATGATAGTTTTGTGTTAAAGTTTTGGCTTAAATTGCATTTTCCATTTGTTTTAATCCGTTCATGGTGGAAGGATACACACAGGGCGTTGTGAGGCCAAATAGTCCCTAAAGAAAACCTATTATTTCAGACTTTCCACTATTTTACCATTATCAGCATTCCATATAAGAGCTCAGGAGACCCCTGGTTCCTATCACCACCACTGTAAAGAAATCTGAACCATTTCACACCAAACCTCTCTGAATGACTCTATTTACATCTCAACCACTGAATAATGCAGAAATTTTGAAAAACTGGTGGAATTCCCCTTTAACACCGTTTGTGCCTTGCGGGACTTGGAAAGCGCAGCTGAGCATGCTAGTTAGGGCGCAGGTGCTCAGATTGGAGCGCAGCCTTCGCCTTAGTCTCCAAACAGTCTGGGATTGTTTTACATGTTTCTGAGTCTCTAAGCAACAGGTCAACCGCGGTCAGGCTCTGTTTCCAATAGCGCAGCAGGGCTCTCCTAAACCCCGCCCCCCGTCTAACGTTACGAAGAGAGAGAGACTCTGAGAGAAAGAAAGAGAGAGAGAGAGAGAGAGAGAGAGAGAGAGAGAGAGAGAGAGAGAGAGCGAGCGAGCGAGCGCTAGAGAGTGTCACGTGACTCTCCGGTGACTCCAGCAGGTAAAGGTGCGCGCCTGCCGCTTTATTTGCCCTCCAGAGAGACAGAGAGCCGCGATGGCCGAGTCTCAGCTCATCTGCCTGGACGATGAACACGTCAACGCGAAGATCCCCGAGTCCAAGCCGGAGTTCTACTACAGCGAGGAGCAGCGGGCAGCGCTGGAGAGCCTGCTGAGAGACGGA